CGGCCTTGAGGGCCCAACGAACGAGCAAGTGTCCTGACGGGCCACACACATACTCATGCCAACCAGCACTCAGACAGGCACGGTCACACACACACCCAGGCCGACCAACACTCAGAGAGGCATGGTCACACACACACTCAAGCCATCCAGCACTCGGACAGACATGCAGTCCAGCAAGCGTGCACACACAGACTTAGTAGCAAGCGGGAAACTGAGCAGGGCATTCAGTCTATGGGCAAAACTCATAAATCAGTTGTGTGTTTCAGTCCATGTATGGATAGGTCATCACACTACTCCCCCCTCAAGAACGAGGTCCCTTCGAGCGAGTAACTCACTCTGAGTCCTCGACAAACGCATCGTAAGCGAGCAAGGCAAATAGATTCCTAGAGTACTCTGTTGCAGTGAGCTTTGCAGAGATCTTAGGTACAGCGCTAGTGGCGATTTGTTGCTCATATGCTTTGACAACATGCAGTGCACTGCGTAGCAGTTCTTGTTTGGAAATCCAGTACAGATCGTCTAATGGGTGAGGCATGAAGTGAACCTGGTACTGTCTGTTGCGTCCCTTCCCTACATGCTGTTTGATCCTGTCTATCTCGTGCCCGCCTTTGATCGCGCGAGGGATCATATCTTCGCGATAATCGAATGTCTTAGCATCACGGTGGAGGTACAGTTTGGATTCGTGGAACACGGGGTATGTGCGCAAATGGGCTGGCACATCAACGACGTACGAAGGGCCAAAGTGATCTTCACCAATCACATCCGAAACTTCCCAGGGCCCATAATAGAGAGGGAGGAGTTTGCGTGAGACTCCCTCTTCTTCTGAGAATTCAGACATCTTAACCCAGACATAGCTTCCTACCTCAATATCCGACGGTCGCCGCTTCTTGTTCGCATGATGGATCATGGTGTGTTGTCGCTTGGTCATAGATACAATGGAAACGTTGAGCAAGCGATCATACTTGGCCCTGAAGCCAGGCCTGCCGGGTGTTAAACCAGCYGGCTGCTCAGGGAATAGGTAAGAGAGCGGATTCCGGATCTGCCAACCGTAATGCAGCCTGTTGGGTGTCATGCCGGTGGCGGAGTGGACGGAGTTGTTGTATAACCCCCTAACGGAATACAACTCTTCATCCCATGTTTCTTGATCCGGGATAATCAAAGCGCGAAGAAGTTGAAACACAGTCTGGTTGATCTCCTCAGCCAAACCGTTGGCTTCGGGGTGTCTGTCAGATGTCATACACAGCTTGATCCCCAGCTGAGACGTGAAGTCCTTCCATTCAGTACTAATGAAGTGCGGATCCCGATCGCTCACAACAGTCTTCGGGGCTCCGAATTGCAGAATGTACTTCTGTTGGAATTCACGAATCACTAATTTTGTTGGGGCATGAGGCGGCAAAGGGATCAGATTGAGGAACTTAGAGAATCGGTCAACAATCACCATGACCTGTGAGTAGCCGTTCTTACTTACCTTTCCCATGTCGGTGAAGTCGATGGAGACCGACTCCCCGGGACCATCGAGAATGGGTAGGGGTGTGAGTAGCCCCATCGGCTTTTGTCTGCATGGTTTGATTCATTGACAGACTTGACATTCAGCCACAAACTTTTCAGCAGTCCCTTTCATGCC